CGAAGGTGGTTCGAGGAACCCCTCACATGCTATTAATATGTGCTAACAATATTTATGTGTTTAAAGAAAAATTTACCTTTGCAGGAATGAGTTTATAAACGCTTTACCAGTGAACCAAGTGAAAGTTATTATTTGAATCCTAAAGAAAAATGAGTAAGGCTATTAGAACAATATCTGTGTATGTTTGAAGAAAATTTTATCATAATTCAAAAACTTGACATGAAAAATACTATTGTATTCTAAAGCCTTTGATATTGTACAAGAAATCTCAACATACATGTTGTCTATGAAAGAAAAGGCAGAACTGTTCGGTTTAGAGAACAAGTGTATTAGTAGAGTAAAATTCAAAGGATCTTAATTCTATTAAAGATAGGAAAAGATTTTCTGACAAAGAAGGAAAATGACAGATGTCACTGCTATTCACAGTATTTTTTTGTGCAAAGTTCCTTATCAATGTGATGCTCATGAATTTGAAGAGAATAATTCAATAATTAAAAATATATAATTGGGAGGCCAATGGGTGGCATGGTGGTTAAGGGCGCTGGACTCCCACATGGCTGACCATGGTTCGAATCCTGGACCTGGTGGTTTGTTTTCTCACGTTCTTTCTCTCTCTCTTTCTTACTCACTCACTCTGTCCCTCTCTGGTCAAATTAAAATAAATAAATAAAGTTAAATAAAATAATTTTTTAAATATACATATAATCAGCAGTTTTGTAGCCAATTCAAGTGAAAACAATCTAATATAAAAAAAAGTACATTGGCAGGGGCAAGCAGGCGGCATGGTGGTTAAGGCACTGGATCCCACATGGCTGACTGCAGACCGAATCCTGGACGTGGTAACTGGAAAAACACACCAGAGTTGGGGGCACAGCATGTGGTGTGGTAGTTAAGGCTCTAGATTCCCACATGGCTGACCACGGTTTGAGTCCCGGACCTGGCAACTTGAAAATCACACCAGGCTCATGTGCATGCTGGCCCAAAATACCAGGAGGAGAATGGATTGCAGTGTGGCTATTCTCCCTGGGGGGCAATTTCGCCCTCTCCCTCTCTCTCTGTCCGTCTTTCTCTGGCACTCACATGTGCCTTAGAGTGAACAACAAAAGCATGCTAGCCCAGCCTGGTAGTGCAGTTGGTAGCAAACGGAACTGCAGTCCTGGAAGGCACACGATAGACCGTGGGTCTGGATCCCTGGGTTGGCCTGGGAACACCGGAGCACATACATGCATAGGATCATGGCATGATGGGGCCCTGTCGAGGGTCCTCTATCTTTCCTTCTCTCCCCCTCGGATGTACACACTACTCTCTATGAATAAAATAACCTTAGGGCAGGCATGTGGCCTAGCAGTTAAGAGATCGCGATCCCACATGGCTGATTGTACAGTTCAAATCCCAGACCTGATGGCTTAAAAAACACGCCAGGTGTGTGTGCATGTGAGCACAGAATCCACACAGGATGGAGAAATGGAGGAGAACAGGTTGCCCCATTGGAAGGTGATTTCTCCCTCTTCCTCTGCCTCACAGTCTCTGCTGAGCACATATGTCCTCTGGTGAATTGTTGCCTTAGGAGGCACACACTTGCCAGAGAGAGAGAGACAGAGACAGTGAGAGGGAAAGTGAGAAATCACCCCCTAGGGAGGATGGACATGCTGCAATCCCTTCTCCTCCATTCTCCTCTGGGGATTTTGGGCATGCACAAACAGGCGCCTGGCATGTTTTTAGGCCACAGGGACTGGGATTCGAACCGCGGAGTCAGACATGTGGCATTCAGTGCCTGAATCACCACGCCACTTGCAGGCCCTTTGTTTTATTTCCTTTCATGATTACGCATGTGATTAGTATCTTCACCAAGTTCTACACAGACATCCCCAAATCTTAGGTTTATTCCAATGTGCTTGAACATTAATACTGCCGCTTTCCAGGAGTCCCATGATCTGGAAAATGTTGGGAAACACTGAGTTAAAACAATCTGGTTGGTAGTTAGGGCAGATGGGTGTGGACGTTAGAGACTATAAGAGGGGAAGTGGTTAGTGGTGGTGGTTTGAGAAAAAAGAGAGAAAAAAAATTTTAGGACGGTCATGTCAGCTTAAAAGTGTTATTTGTCTATTAAACGAGTATGCAGACTGCTTTATGAGTGGTTTGTGAAATTATGAAAGTTCAAATGCAGTATCTGAAGGCTAGAAATGGTACACTGTATGATTACACAAGGAAAACAAATAAAAACTTTTTGTTTTGATCTGGAACTCTTCTGTGTATCTGTTATTTGTCGTCAAAAGAGAATTTTGCCTAAAAGAAAAGGTTCACTAGTGTGCGAATGCTCACAATCTTTTGTGAAATTGTAGTTTATCATCAGCTTGTATCTGTAAATTGTTATGAATATTAATTGCATTTTTTGGTGATACATAGTTTTTTATTATTTTTTTTAATAGAGATTTTTGCTATAGGGTGCACAAGCACACCGGAGAGACAGACAGAAAGTGAGAAATCACCCCCTGGGGGAATGGCCACACTGCAATCCCTTCTCCTCCATTCTCCTGTTGGGACCTTGGGCACGCACACACATGCCTTCGGCTTAAGTTTTAAGCCACTGGGTCTGGGACTCGAACTGCAGTTGACTACGTGGGAGTCCGCTGATGTCTGCTGGTCCCCGTTACATACAGTTTTATACTTTGACGCTTGTGTCTGTGAATTTGCAAATGAAACGTATTTTGCCAATGTTTTCTGAATGAACCAAATAAAACTTCTGTTATGGCATTAAAAAAAAGTTAAAATGTCATCTTTAAAAATATAAATAAATTCTATTCCATTGGCTTCTTTTTATACTTAGTAAGGCAGTACAATAAAGTAAATAAAAATGTTATCCCTGAAGCTGAACTCCAAGACTTCAAATTCTAATTGGGCACTAAATATTTGTATTAATTTGAGTGAGTTAATTTATTTATCTGAGGCTTACTTTTTATTTTTTAGGAGAGTTTTTTTTTTTTTTTTTTACTATAGGATGCAAACACTTGCTGAAGAGACCGAGAGACAGAAAGTGAGAAACCCCTCAGCCCCAGTGGGGGTGGGAAGGATGGCCACACCCCAATCCCTTCTCCACCATTCTCCTCTCGGGATTTTGGGCATGCACAGGTGCCTGGTGTGAGTTTTAAGCCACTGGGTCTGTATGAAAATACAGTTGACTACATGGGAGTCCAGTGAGGTAACTGCTACACCATCTGCTAGTCCCTGAAGCTTACTTTTCTAAAAATAAATAAATAGATAAAACAATCTGATTGCTATAAAAAGATTGAAAACAATGATGGCTTAGCAATATAGAATTTGCTGTCAGCCTGTGGCATGGTAGTTAAGGCAGCCAGATCCCGCACGGCCAGCAACGTGATTCAAGTCCCAGCAGCTTGAAAACTTGCCTGACGTGTGCACACCCGTGCCCAAAATCCTGAGAAGGGAAAGGAGGAGAAGGGATTGCAGCGTGGCTATTCCCCCTCGGGTGTGTTTCTCACTTTCCTTCTCTGTCTCTGTCTCCCTCTGGTAGGCATATATGCCTTAGAACACATTTTAAAATGTGTGTGTATAATTTCATTTCCAAATAAAATCAGTTCTGGGATGATGCGGTGGTTCCTTAGCTCAAATGCGTTCCAGCCAGCTTGAAGGCAGACGACACCGACAGTGGTCTAGTTCTCCGTACTTTCCCTGTCGTGTGTAATGTGTATGGTTATCTCCCGGTGTCCCGTGTCGCCTGGAGGCTCTGTGTGTGGGGTTGGGGGTGGCTTCTCTCATTACATGGCCAAAAGAGCAGCCGTCTGGAGCCAGATGGATGTGGGCTCAAACCCCATCTCCACTGACCACAAGCAAGGGGCTCAGGCAGGGGCTTACCCTTCTGGAACCAGTTTCCCGATCCGTAAAATGGAGAGACCAGACCTGACCTCAGAGCTGCAGGTGAAGCGCTCAGTGACTGCATCCGGCAAAGACGTGCTGAAGAGTCCAGGCCTTCCTGACGCCCTGATGTCTCGTTCAGAGCCTGGAGCAGGGGCGTCCGCGTTAGCGCCACTCGAGAGGAACTGAACGGAGTCAAGCTCCGGGGAAGGAAGTTAATTCCCCTGCATGTCTGGCCTGCCCTGAGGGCACCACAGGCTCTGGTGGCCACAGAAGACCCTGGGTGATGACTTTAGGAACTGATCTGGGCAGGGTAATGGGCCCTGGAGGGCAGGGAGATGGCCGCGTCTGCTACACCGGCCAATGCCATTTTTATAGTTTCAGAGAAAAAATCTCTGGAGAGACCCTAAATGGAGCCTGGGATGGGGGAGGTCTGTCAGCCGTCGCTGCAGCCAGCAGCATAAAATAAAAAAGGAAGTCGCTTCTCCTTTGTTTCCCTCCCTCCACCCCCATTCCTGCAGATATAAGCACACAGACATGGCAGGGACCCAGCCACCCCGTGGGAAGGCAGAGTAACAAGATGGAGGGGACTCTGGATGGCCACCCCGTCAGCTGTGACCTCTCGCTGCACATGAGAGGGGAAGACAGATGGTGCTTAGACCCCAGACGTTGGTTTCTGTAACCGAGGGTTAGTGGCTCCAAGCCCCGCCCCAGCCCCGGGGAGAGGGAGGGGGGAAC